AATTATAAAATTTAAAGATTAAAAAATAGTGTAGATCGAGTAGATCTATGAAAACTTGAAAACCTTGAAAATTGTTGGTCCAAAAAAATGTTACAAGATGCAATATTTCTAGAACTTGAAATCAATTTTTTTTTCTCATGTCCGTGCATCTTGATATCGAGATAATCAATTTGAGGATATTTGGACGTCAAATCAACCTCTTTCTAATGGAATTTTTGAGGTCAGCTCTAATTTGATTGTTTAGAGCCTCGGCTCTATATAAACTTTTTCCACATTTATATATGCACTGGTGGCTAATATTTTTTTCGTCGTGCTTGCAATCTCGGCCGTATATCCCTTGCTATATAATCCGAAACCGTCCAAAAGAAAATCTCTTATTCCATGTGGCAAACACTTAGAAGAAAATCATCCGACATGGCAACCCCCATGGATTAAAGATTTTCCCTGTCCACATGGCCACAGGAGGCTAACTGTCCCCATTCTTACAAAGAAAATCTATGATCCAGATAAGAAGGGATAAACACCCGCTCTTCTGATTGGCCAATTCGGATGCTCCCCTATTTCAAGCCGTCCGATCTCCAAAACCCAATCCCAGGCCTCCATTCCATACACAAACCTCAACCACAAATGAACCCACAAAACCATATACAAAGAGTCTCAGTATCTCAATCACAAAAAACTCTAACCCCTCCAAAAATTTTACCAAATCTGCCATTCTCAACTGCATCAAAACTTCATCAATAGAATGGCAACAGTTACGATGCAGGCTTCTTTGGGGGCATTGAGACCATCCATTACCAAGTCAAGGTTCCTTAGTGGCTCCAATCCAAACAGGCTCACAGCCAGGGACATTTCGAGTCGGACCGCTTCTGCGCCTGGCAATTCTTTCAAAGTCGTCGCGAAGAAGGGTGAGTGGCTTCCGGGCTTGGCCTCTCCAGGGTATCTCACTGGAAGGTAAAATTTGACATTACACCCCACTTTTGTATCGTATACTGTGCTTCCTCCCAACCATACTTTTACTTCTACTCCATCGGTTAGAAGAAGATTTTTTCGATTAGAAATTTTGGGAACTACGTAAGAATTACTAGATGGATTGTTCTCCAAAAGAAAATTGAAATTTAAGTCTTTTAACACCTAGATCTCACCATCGATCGAAAAATTGGATGGTCTCTATTCAATTTTGAAATGTTATATTTTTCAAGTGCATAAAAGGTGCAATTAGGAAATTTTTTTTTACTAAGGTTAGCCTATGAGTTGAAAAAATAACCCCGAGAGTAAACCACCCCCACCCAAGTAGAATATCTTTTGGCTTTAATGAATTTTATGTTTTAGTGTACCATATGCCATCTGTGTGTATGCTAGTTATGGGCAATTTAGAATTCATCAACCATTGAGACTTAGTTTATATGGATACATCCAGCTCATATGTCAATTTGAAGGTGTTCTTTGTTATGATCTTTAGTCTTTTAGCTTTGGGTATAAACTAGAATAATCTATTTTTTTATTTATAAAACGACATATAGCTTAATCCGTACAACGTGAAAAAAGACCACACAAAAAGAAAAAAATGCTTAGAAGTAACTCAAACTCATGCACAAGGAATTATGGACCTCAAAACATGCATAAATTGTGCAAGTACTCTCAGGAGTTGGAATCTTGAAATAGTTCATGTTGTTTCTCTAAAGGAAAACTTATCAAACTACAAGAATTGAGTTATTTAGTATCTTATCCATATTTTTTACATAATTTCAAGTAACTAATCAAATGATACCTCAAAATGGGCTTTGAAATTTATCAAATTAAAATCAAGCTTGAGATATAGCATTGTAAATCTCAACTGATATCCGCTCAAGCCCAGGCCCAATTCCTAAATTTGTTTTTTCTAGTTGACAATTTATCACAGTTATTTAACTAAAAGGGAACCATCAGTAAATGATGTGGAAAATACCAAACTGAGGCTAAATTAGAAATGTAACGTTCCAAATACTTCATTAAGATAAAAAAATAAAAATAAAAAAATGAACCACTGGAGCAATTTCGGCTGGTGTGCTAGACACCAGCTTACTATTTTCTCAACCATTTTATTGGAATTTTTTTTGTTTAGTTAAGCTGGCTTGTAAAAAGCAACCTCAAGTTTGCAACAAGCACCTTCAAGTTGATCAATGGGCCTCATAGCCACCCATTCCCTTCACTTTCTATTGAGATTTCAATATTCTGGCAAATTCGATAATAGAGTCTCATCTCATGGAATCCACAGCCTCCCAGGAGACAACGGATTTGACCCACTTGGTCTTGCCGAGGACCCCGAGAACCTCAAGTGGTTTATCCAAGCCGAGCTGGTGAATAGTCGATGGGCCATGCTTGGAGTAGCTGGAATGATATTACCTGAAGTGTTCACTAAGATCGGTATCATCAATGTCCCCCAGTGGTATGATGCAGGAAAATCGGAGTACTTCGCCTCTTCTTCGACACTGTTTGTGATAGAGTTCATATTGTTTCACTATGTTGAAATAAGGAGATGGCAGGACATTAAGAACCCAGGGAGTGTGAACCAAGACCCCATCTTCAAGAACTACAGCCTTCCCCCCAACGAGGTCGGCTACCCAGGAGGCCCCTTCAACCCCCTCAATTTTGACCCGACTGAAGAGGCCAAGGAGAAGGAGCTTGCCAATGGTGAGAGAGAGAGAGAGAAAGAGAGAGATGCATGGGTGTGTGTCCATTTGAAGTTCTTTAGCTTCTTTTGCTGATACTACTGATGTCAATTTAGACTATAAAAACCATACTCCATTAGGGTCATGAAGGTCCAATGAAATGGAGAGAGAGGGGTCGACAACAACAGGACATGAACCCAATGATGGGTCCCTCTCTCTCTCTTCAGCACCATCGATCATTTCATAAGACAAATGAGACACCAGTAGACTGTTGTTTTCCATAGTCCTTAAGAATACAGTACAATCTCTACTTATCACTGATATATATTGTAGTTCACTCACTTGAGGCCTTTTGTGTTGTATGCAGGGAGACTAGCTATGCTTGCATTCTTGGGGTTCATTGTCCAATACAATGTTACTGGAAAGGGTCCATTTGAGAATCTACTCCAGCACCTATCAGACCCATGGCACAACACCATAGTCCAGACACTCAGGGGATAATGCAATAGTATTGATGGGTTAAGGGATTTATCTCTCTTGTTTTCTTTTTGTGTATGTGTGTGTGCGTGCGTGCGTGTGTGTGCCTGTTTGTGTGTGTGTGTTTGTATTCATGGGATAAATGGGCATAGAGAGCAATGAGCTTCAATCTTCCTTTCACACCTTGAATGTACAGGGCAACCACCAACCTCCATGGAATTGTATCAGTTTCATTGCACTCATGTTGTATAACTACCAAGTACAACAGCATTATTATCCTAATCCTGTTTATTTTTCAAGTTTCTTGTATATAAGATAAACCACACATACACACACACACACAATGAGAGAGAGAGAGAGAGAGAGAGAGAGATAGAGGCCTAATCCTTGAAAGTCTTGGAACTTCATTAAAGCTATAGTAAACTATCAAAACTATATGGAAACAATGGAGATACATGGATTTATTGACCTATGTATGTATAGTTTTACACATCAAGTCACAAACGAATTGCAGGAAACCCTTCTCCTATAAATCATTTCAATACATGCATGTGTATAGATCTGTATACCCCGAACCTCCATAATTTACACAAGTCTTGATGACGACTAATGGGAAGATGCATCGAAGCCTCATGCAGCTGATGCACTCCTCCCTCTAGGACACAAACAACAATCTTCAAATTTACCATCTATGAATATTGATGCAGCTCACTGTAAACTTAAAACCATAGTAACTGATACTTGAATGAAAGAGGAGGTTGACTTTTGTAGAACCACTCCTATTTAAATACTGCGAAGGTAAAAGGGGCTTGTCCATCTTAAGCTTGAAGCACATAACCTCCATTCTAAACTAGAGATGAAAACACTGAAAACACCACTTCTGAACACCACTTCCTCTCGAAATCAATTTGGTTGCTGCATATTTGAAACTTAAGTTAGAATAATTAATTAAACATCCAAAACAAAGTATTTCTAAAACCAATTTCACTGGGGTGGGGTGGGGTGGGGTGGGGTGGGGTGGGGGGAGAGAGAGAGAGAGAGAGAGAGAGAGAGAGAGAGAGAGGTAGGTGATATTCCAACCAATTACTGAGATAGTTCGCAAGGACAAACCTGAGGAAATGGGTGCTCATTGAACAAGGGTATGGCGCCATGGCCAGAGGTTGAAGCCCAATTATGAGGGTCCCCATTATAGCCAATTCGAGAACCCTCAAATCCATGAACTTGATAGTCCACAGGTGATCCCTGTAAATTCAATTCCATCTTCTTCTCTCCAAGAAAATTGTGATTGTAAGGCTGGTATGGAAACTGCCCACCAAGCTGAAGTCGTAAGCATGCATTCCTACTAAGCTCATTCAACGTCTCCTCCTGCCTTGAACTACCGATCTCCATCTGCCTGCCACTTCCAAAGAAACTTGAGAGAGATGAGATAGTGCCATCCTGGGGGCATTCCATATCCCTACACAACAAGGAAGCAATACACATGAGAATCCAATTCACCAATCAAGCTACAAAATGGTTTTTCACCTTTGGGGTGGGTAATCTGGGTTCAAGGGAATGAATGCTACAGAGCAATCGATGTGGAAAACCATAGTATTGTTGCAGTTATCACCATCAGATGCAATGCACAGCGAAGGGAAGAATGTAACCTGCCTGAACAGGAAATGACCCCATTGGCAGGCACCACTCTCTCCCCCATCGATATCCATTTCATTCAATAGTGATGACCCTGGTGGACTATGGTTTGTGCACTCAACATGCAGACAATTAGTGATTGTTGTTAAGCATAACTTGAGTGATATCTCTATGTATTGCTTGAATCAAACCATACAAGAACAAACATTGTTTTAAGAAAGCTACCTCTGAGATAGTGCCAAATTTGGATCCTCTTGTAGCATCAGATGGTGGCCATCATGATTGGGAACCCAAGAAAGGGGTTGAGTTTGCTGATCACCACTGATACCTAAGGGCAAATTAATCCCATTTTGATACTGCAAAATCAAAGATAAAGCGACCTTGTTTTGTAAATCACATAAAATATCAATCCAGGGAAGAGAAGTAATTAAGAGAAGATGACCAATCTGCTTACCTGGTGACTGCTGCAGGGCAACGTCAAGAACTGGTGCTTTGCAAAGCTTTCCTGTTAAAGGGGGATCATGTAAATATATGTAGGTCAAAGAAACATTCAGGAAAATAAATTCTCATCTCAAAATTAGCTCAAAACTAATTCAACATTCATTTTTCCATGAGATTGGAACATAAGCCTAGTTATGATATCTTTTGTAAATTTTATGACTGTAATTGTGAATTGTGAAGTGATGAAAGTCTGTTTCAATGAATGTGAATGAAGTGTTTGCTTAAGTAAAATGAAGAACACATCTCCGCCAACATCTCTGCCAACAAATTAACTATCCAAATCAAAACCATGCCACAAATGCAATGTACGGCAAATGTGAAGCTTCTAAAGTGAGAGCAGTACTACCTTTAGGGCTCGAACCCGAGTAAGAGATTCTTTGAGTGTCTCTGCCATAGCTATGATGCGGTCTGCATTATCAATCCTTTCTGGATCTGTCCAATAGCTGAGAACAATAAAATAAAGAAATATGAATTTTTTTAGCAGTAGAAGCCATAAGCAAATGCAACCATGCAAGAATATTCAAGCCATTCTGGTAAACAATGTAAACAAAGAATTTGGACTTCAAGTCCTCAAAGAATTTAAAGATGATATACCACCAACATTGACAGACACAGGATATCTCTAAGGAGGATCAGAACAAGTTACCTATTACATTCTTAGTTATGAAAGAGAATACAACAAAACTTTATCATGTGAAGTAAAACAGGCACTAGAAAAATGCTAAACATGGCATATATAAATATAGAAGACAACCACTGAGAAATTTCACCAGTATCTAATTGTTTCAAGTAGCATGATTTATTTCCAAATACAATGAAACTACAAAGTGTGAAGAAAAAATATCAAAAGAAATTTTCATTATACAATGTTCTAAACATCTCAGAAGGCCAGAGCAATCCTACTTGAGAAATGCATCTAAGCCAACCAAATTTAGTCCATCTAATTTATCTTAATTCACAGTGTCCTACATGGTTAACATACCAAAAAGATGACAAGTTCTCATAAAGTTGTTGAAATAAACCCCTAGATAAAGATTGACATTTGGTTTCTTTTCTAGGAAGGACTCTTCTTAGTCTTTTGCCTGCTCTTTCCTTCAAATAGCGTCACTTCACTACACCAGAAATCTCTCAAGAACGGGGCAACCAACACAACAAAAATCTTTCTACATTGGGGTTCTCAGAGAAGGATATGGCTAGGATTTGGTGTCCTAGTCTTATGGCAAGGACATGAGGGCCACAGCACAATGTTCCAACTTACCCCACACCCCATGAGAGTAAGCGAGGCAGGGTGGCTATTGACTACCATAATGACTTCTTTCCAATGAAATGCCACAAATTTCCAGTTAATCAAAATGGAACAAGTTCTAGATTATCAAAAAGAGAAAACGCAACAAGTTATAGCCATGTCAGTAACATGGTTGTCAAAAGCATGAGGTGCTAAAACTATACCTAACTACTTGGCTCAATAGAGCACCTGAGATACAGGCCCCACCCCATCCCAATGGAGAGAGATGCACATATCCAATGTCCAAGGCATAAGCCTCCAACCAAGTGACACACCGTCATTCCACTTATCCTTAGTAAATATGATAAGGCCTATAAGAATGAATTTAAAGTATTCTTCCCTTTTCTTGAAGACATGTGCACATGTGATTTCATGGTTGATCCACCATTCTATATGCAATTTTTTGGGGATTCTTCCATTCACAAGGCTATGCCTGTGGAGGTGCAAATTTTGTGTAGTCTCTACCCAAAAATTCTCTACACATGCTTACTTTTCCTAGACACGTAAATATGGGTTTTGCTGGCTCTTAAAGCTCCCAAAATAAGCTGCAAGAATGTTTAATACTGCAAAAGTTCAAGAGTGTTTTCCGTATAACTGGGAAAATGGGTTCAACAAATGTTACATTTTATGCTCATGACTGTGTGGATATAACAGACTAATGGTATCAAAACGCATTAAGGTTTCTTGAACTGATACCTCAGTCTCTTGTGTACTTCAGACAACTGTGCTTGTAGTTGCCTTATTTGGTTTTCAAGATCCTGTGAAGAAATTTAAGTCAACGTAGGTGGCTGAAAACATTTAGCTGAAAGTTAAATGCATAATTACAGACAATTATGAACAATATTTGAAAATAAATAAGTCCTCTGATGAATACCTCAACTATATGGGTGCTGCAATGGGAAAAAGAAAAAAGATATACAAAGTCAAATATTTTTCTCAAAAAAGATAATATACTAGAAAACTGAAAACAAACCATCCCAAAAAACGTTCCACATACCTTGAACCTAAAAATTCCTGTATATTGATTTCATGGTCCAATTTCTTGAACGTCTTCTTTAATGCCTAATATCCAAATTGAGAAAAAAAAGTCAAGATTTTTTTATGAACATTAAATAAGGAGTGACTGCCTGTCAATGTTGCCAATATATGAAATATTTTTTAGAGCAATATTTTTAAATGCAATCATAATTAACTTACTTCAAGGCTCTCAAGCTTCCTGTTTCAAAAGAAAAAGAGGTCATCTTTAGAACTAATGTCCATAATTATAATGAAAAATGAAAGAAAGTAATAACCGAATGTGAATGTTAAAGCAAACAACACTACGGAATACATGATTTCTGTACCTCTTAGCTCTCTCTTGAGGAGTCAACGATGCAAACCTATGAATAACATCCTCAATGTTGCTGCAAACATGAAAATGGAGAGCATTAGAGTATTGAGAGAAACACAATATAACTTCGGAAAAAAGAAATCCAGGGACAGCCTCATGCATTTCAAGCAAGAGTGAGCATGTAATAGTAATTATTTTGCATGCTTTCATGTTACAAAATCACATAGGAAGTAAGACAGCATCAGCTAGTATGATAAATGAATATAATTTTTATTTGTCTGGGTAGAACTAGTATTAGTAGTAGTAACAATAACAAAATAATAATAATGGATATAACGAAAATAAGAATTTTAGCAGAACTTGAAATCAAACTTGCTTCAAATTCACCAAGTAAAATACAAGAGAGAGAGAGAGAGAAGAAAAGCAATGTCAGCTAGATCCACTTTTGCCAGACATTGAAAAAAGAACTACAATCAGAGACTCTTCAAGCAAATTCAAATACAAGATGAAACCCTGTACAAAAAATAAGAGATGTAGAGCAAGAATTAACATGGCATCCTTTATCTCCAGTAATGATTTGATACTCTTACAAGGCGCTTCACCAAAGCCCTGTAACCTTTGATATATTCTAAATATTGCAAGATAAGAAGAGTAGCCAAGGGAACCTCATTACAATCACACAATAGGGCTTTTGAACATTTACATTAGATCTAAAGTTCCATAAGAAAAATTAAAATAATACAGCTTGAAATGAGCAACTAAAGGGGCTTACATGCAAGGAATACATAAAACATCTAAAAAACATGCATCTATACACTGCATATTGACTAAAAAATAAATACAAGAAATAGTATCACTGGGCTTCTATAAGTGTTCCTTCCAATTTCCTCTCATGACAAAAATGTTTCAAAGAACCAACTTCAAGAAGCTCATATTCTTCACTTAGACATCTTAAAGGACTTAAATTTAACAATTAATCACCCAAAATATTTCCAAATACAACCAGTATCTGGAGTTATTAATTCCCTTTGCTGGCAAATAATTGCGTGCATGCAAGATCATGAGCATAGCTGTAAAAAAAAAACAGAGGAACCTGGTCCCGAAGTTTTTCTCTTTGAAATCTTTTTGGGAACATAAAACTAAAATCAAGAGTACAAGAGGTCAAACAAATACGTAAAAAAACCTTTATTTATTGTATAAAGTAATAGGTAAATAAGAATCATGTAAGATAACAAATGAGGAGCCATACCAACCCAAAAATAGAAAAAAAAAATCCAGAGACTCTTTTTTTTCTTTTTCTTTTTTTAACAACTGGAAGATGAAAAAGCTTTCTAGGGGGTAAGAAAACTTTATAAAACACAATTTATAAAACACAATAGCCAAGAGCAAAATAAGCATACAAAATAATAATAATAATAAAATCCTTCTTCATGCACTGGTTAACCGGTACATGCCTTACAAGGCACATATTCTCTTTATATCCCAAACCGTGCATAACAATAATGAAAAGCTAAACCTACCCGAAAAGAGCAAAAAACAAATGAAGAGTACAAACTTCTCCTTTTCTGAATATTCCTTGAGCCCACTTGTTTTATCCTTGAGAAAAATGAATGCACATAATAACAAATGGGGAGGCACAAATATCTTATTACCATCACACTAATTATGCAACAATAACGAAAACCATGGACCCACTAATGCCTTTCAATACAGGTATGTGAGAGAGAGAGATACAGAGGGAGAGAGTATAATTACATAAGAGAGAGAGACAGAGAATAAATAAATACATAACAGAGAGAGAGACAGAGGGAGAGAGAAAGAGAGAGAGGGAGCGAGCATAAATACATAAAAGACAGAATAAATAAATACATGAGAGAGAGAGAGAGAGAACAAATAAGTACATAAAAAACAGAGAATGAATTTATACCTGCGTTCCCCTAAGCATAAGGTGGGCTTCCCAGTTGGTGAAAACATGAGCAATGCAATATCTATGTCACATAAAATGGAGAGCTCCCTTGCCTTCTTTAGAATGCCGGCCCTCCTCTTAGAGTATGTAACCTGTCTACCATTAGTGTTCTCTAACTTCTTGATCTTCAGCTTAACCCTCCCCATTCTGCAAACCCAACAAACAAACTTCTTTTGCAGTAACTCAAGAGATAAAACAAGCCTCTGCAATCTCTCTTTCTCTCTCTCCACAATAAATAAAAATAGTGAAATTAGCTCCATTTCCTCAAAAAAAAGAGAAAATGGACGCATATTTTCATTACTCAACAAATTTGATGTTTATTTTCCTCTCCTCCCCACTTTATACAATGAATCAAATAATAGAAAACTTGCAAAAAAAAAAAAAATCTCCAACAGAATTGATTAATATGCTCAAAAACCAATGACCCAATGGCCAAAACTTATCAACCAACCTTAAAAAAGAGAAACACCCACTTCAGTGTTGGCGCTTACAGGACCCACCTCTTCAATCACTGTAAAAAAGAAAAAGAAAAGAAAAAAAAAGAATTATAAATCTTATGAGAGAAAGCCAAAAAGAAAAAATAATAATAAAAAAGCAAGAGAAATACTAAAATAAAAATGAGCCAAAAAAAAGTGAGAACTCTAAATTAACAACTCGAAATAGAACCCAGAAAAAAAGAAAGTCAACTACCATTAAAATAAGAAAAACAAAAAACAGAGACAATAAAAATCCAAATACAGAAAAACCAAAACCAAAACCAACAAAATCACAAAGATTTTCCAGGCCCACGGAAAACCAACAAGCAAGCAATGATAAAAAGAGAGGTGAGGACCCCAGTAACAAGGTAGAGAGCGAAAGCTGAGAGAGAGAGAGAGAGAGAGAGAGAGGAAACCTAAAGAAAGAGACAGGGCACGGAGAAATGGACTACAAACACCCAACAGGGGGGGCAATTGGACACAGAGGAGACCCCCACTTGAAGCTTATATAAACCCACAGGCCCCAATGGATAAGCACGACAATAATCAAAATTTCAGAGAGAGGCAGAGGAGAGAGAAAGACAAAAAGGGGAAATTAATGGGATTCCTGTCAACTAAGGAGGAGCAAGGGGGAGAGACAGAGAGAGGAATACGTGACTGGAGAAGCTGAAGCATCGGACTCGGCAAAAGACGGGCTAAAAGAAAATAAGAACGAGAACATTTTAGAGAGAGAAAGTGTAGAGAGAGAGAGAGAGTCCCAAAGATTACGTCAATAGATTGCGCCACCGTGGGTTGAGGAGAGAAAGGCCCACTCCACCAAAAGATTTGAACAGACTCAATGAACTGTGGCTCTCCGACAATACATTAATCTCTCTCTCTCTCTCTCTCTCTCTAGATTTTCATACTCACGCCACCGCATGCATTACCATGCAAAAATATTTGAGTCATTACTTTTCTCTCTCTACCAGTATCTTTCTCTCTCTCTCTCTATCAGAATCCACCATCTTTCTCTCTCTTCTTAAAAACCTAATGATAGTTTGCTCCTATAACTTTGGCCATTTATTAAGACATTAAACACCTTTCTTTATACTTATTTCCCTCCCTACCCCTCCTCTTTTTTTATTACTTTTCTCCCCTAACTTGCCTTAAACAAATCTATTTTTGACAAAAAATTATGAATTTATAAATATTTTTTCTTTCCAAATTTGAAACAAACCTTTTGGCCCCTTAGGCACTCCAAGGATAACAAACTACGAAGCTATTTCTTTGCAAAGTTGAATGTGAAATATGCAAATTCAAGTGGTGTATGAATCATTAACAGTTGAAGCAACTACACAAGATTTTTGTTTTTAGTATATCCTAATTTTGATAGAATTAAGGTTTGTATTGGAAGATAAATGTCAAATATAATGAGAAGTAGACTTCATCTCCCACCCTTATTTTCCTTTTTTTTTTTTTTTTGTTGAATCAAGCTTTGCTTTCTAAGTAAGAGACCATTTAACGACTAATATGCAAATAAGTATATTAATCCTTGTCTCACTTGCTTCAAGGTAGAGATCAGTCAGCTACATGTACATCCTAAACAGTCATCATAAGAAAAGAAAGCAAAGATTTTTCTCAATTATCATAAATTTATTTATTTTTTATTTTATATGTAGATTTCACGAATAGAAATGCCATGTCGGATATATTAACAATTAAAGAAAGGACATTTTAGACATTTTTCCGGGCCATCGTATCTATCGGAAAGCGGTCAACGCGCATGCTCCCTCACGAGCATGCACGTGTCCTTGCACGATATATGTCTCAATCCATTTCTTGTCACTTCCTGCCGGGTATATTAAATGGACCGGAGGTGTATATTTCATTCATAACTCAAAATTAATTACAATATAAACTCTTTAATTTTACTAAGAAATTACTGCAGTCATTTTTTAACTAAGCAATTCCTACACGATGATTTTTGCTGTTTTCTCTAAGCAATTACTATGTCAAACTGGGGAGAAATGGCGGTATCCGAAGTACAACAAGTGTCAAAGAGCGACAGTGCTCTATGATGTGTGCATCTTCGGGGTTCAATCTTTGGCAATTGACAGTTGCCTGATGCCGATATAGCTAGCAATAAAGGTGTTTGATTTCATGACCATGGCTCGGTAACTCCATAATGCGGCCTCTATGTGGGCTTAAGCGCTACAAGGAAGAATGAGATTTTTCCAGTATGCGTGGTGAGGGCTCATATTAGGCCTTGCCAGTTGCTAGCTACTCGACACAAGTTCGAGGGGTGTTTGATGTAGCAATTCAGTCCCATTTACTTCAAAAAGTGGGCTAATGTGGGCTCGTCATAAGCGGAATGAGGATGACTAACTTTTTTAGGGCATGCACGATAAGGCCGTTAGGCCACCTCCACTTGCTTGCTACCGAACACATTACTCAAGAGGTGTTATATTTAGTAACCATGCCCAATTCCTTCATAAGCTGCAAGTAATATGGCCATAAAGTATGTTGCGACGAACACTCTTTAGGGCATTACAAATGCCATACCTTAGGCCCTAGCTAGTTGCTCACTGCTAACTGATCCACTAGTTAAAGTGGTTGTTGTATTTAGTAACTCTCGACTCGAATAGCTTTGTAGTGCGACATGGCCTGTTTTGCGAGTACAGTGAAGTAGAACCCTCATCAAGGAGTGCTTGATGAGGGCTCAACTTTAGCCACTGCCAGTTGCTTGCTGGCCTTTATACTAGTTTGAGGGGGGTCTTCTACTTAGTGACCATTGCTTAATTGTTTCAATAAGTGATTAGGGAGAAAGAGGGAGAAACAGCATTGTGAGGACAATCTTGAGCCCCTAGCAGTTGCTTGGAAGCTGGTGCACTGAGAGGAACAAGTTGATTTTACGAGTAAATGCGCTTAAATTCTAGGAGGAACAAGTTGATTTACTAGTAAATGTGCTTGAATTTCTCAAGTAAGATTAGGCCGAATACTCTTTGAAGTGTGCATAGATTAGCCCTAGCGATGGCTCATTCTTTAGCCATTGCTAGTTGATCCCTAACTGATGCACCAGTAAAGGGGATATTGATTTAGAGAAACTCTTAAAACACTTTGCAAAGTGGTATTTAGATATGCCTGGTTAGGAGTTAGGCCTCCCTCTCAACCATAGCTAGTTAATTGTTTCTTGAGTTGGTGACCCCGATCGGCCTCCCCAAAAACTTTCTCCAATTCACTTGAATGACTAGAGGGTTACTTTAATAATTATTCCTTATTTATTTGGAAGTTAGTTACGGTCTTCCTATTACATTGAAGGAAACTAAGCATATACAGCTTTTCAAGGGCATTTTGAGCATTACGGGAAATAGTGAGACCAGTCTAAGTAATTCGGTGACTTTGGGTGGAATGGCCATTTGATGAAAAAGGTTGGGATACTTTTTGCCTTTGAAATACAGGGGTAAAATGGGAACTTTTTTTTCTCATTGCAAAAAATTTGGAGCTGTTAAGATAAGCTTTGGGGCTTTTAATTGCATTTAAAGCTTTCTTACATATCTTTAATTACATTGTCAGTCTTCTAGTGTGCATGTCTGCCTCTCTGTCTTTTTTCCTATATTCACAGTAGCATGCATAGGATAGAGAAGCATATATTCCATTATTTTTACAAGAGCGTAGATGCCAAGTGTATTACATGCCTAAGCTCTGTTTTATAACACTGTGGGATCCCATGAGGCAAATATCATCGAGATTTTCTTATGCAAAAATGAAAGAGAAGCAAGAAAAGGAAGGTCATATTATGCATAAAATCTTTCCCCACAAGATATATATTAAAATTGACGTTAAGGATGATTGTAAATGTTTTGCACAAATTAATAGATGCATCTATCTTCCGAGAGTGGATGATTTATGTAAGGAATTAGTGAAGAAACACAATCCAATGAGAATACAGCAACTACACAATGTACATTACGCCATGACAATTTAAAAAAATTACCTTAGAGTTTATGAAGCCACCCACAGTTATAGATATTCAATGAATTGTTATTATGGACTGTGCACTCAATTTACTGCATTGCCTATAGATAGCATCTGTGCGTGCCAATAATTCATAAATAAATTTATATAATTAACAATTTAATATCTCTGGTAATATTTCTTGTTTCCTCCACCTTTTGCTAATGGTTAAGAGGCATTTGTGAGTTATAACAACCATGGGTTATGGATTGGTGTTAATAAATCTCTTTGCTTTTTGATAGCCTCTTTTTTCAAAAGAAAAAGTTTATTGAAGGTTGTAACCTTATTTGTAGAAATAAAATGGCAATAATCTATACCGTCTATTTTATTTGGGTTTTGTAGATTGGGCATTATTTTAAAAAAAATGCCATATATTGATATTGTATTAAGAAATGTGTCAACTTGTACCACTCAAATAAAATAGATGGTATAGAATATCACAACCTCTTTTCCACAAATAAAGTTACAACCTCATAACAACCACACCTTTTTTAAAGAAACAACTTTGTGACAACCTTTTTCATTGTTTGACAAAAGAACATCATAATTTTCATCCCAAATTCAAATTTCCCAATAAGCTACCCAATCGCGCTACAACACTTATAATTACCATTACAATGTCTAGCCAAAATGAGGTTGACAGCTTGGCCAAAAATTAAGTGTTCGTATCACGAGACTCTCGAGAGGATCTACTTAGGAAGATTTTCTCGATTTTAAATTATGAGATCTTTTTTAGAATCATTAGATGATTATTTTCTTTCAAAACATAAATACTTACGAGAAAAAAAACGTATAACCCCTCTCTAAAATCATAATCCGAAATAAGCCCCCAAGTTCATGGAAAGCCTATGAACCTCTTCCAAGTTAAATGAAACGGCCCCTCCATACTTTTTTATTATCCAAGTGGCAATATTTGTCCTCCATGTTTTTTCTAATAATTCTATCAAAACTATAGAAAAGCTCTCCCTTTCTTTTTCTTCTTTCTGTCCCTCCCTCCCTCCTCTCTCTCTCTCTTTCTCTTTCTCAGCCTCCCTTGAACCTTCACATCTCTCTCATCTTTTGAACTCCACATTAGATTAAAAGAGGCGTATCAAATTCCCACTTTATATGATGGGGTTATTACAAAAGAGAAAAAAGATAAATATTGTAATTTGGATAATAAAAAAGATCATAAAGGAGTTAAACATATTTTTCTTTTAACTTGAAACGGTTCTATGGGCCTTTCATGGCAGGGAGTAATTTTGGGATTATAATCTTAAAGAAGAGGCATGCATCTTTTTTCCAATGTTTATTACTAAACACAAAGGTCTGACCATACAAAATTTGGACAACCTCTATTCAATCGAGCACATATAGAGTGCATGTGGATTTTTTTTTCCCAGAGATTGTTCACTAGGTTGAGGAGGTTACATCCTCAAAATATTGGGTCCTAAGATATTCCGAGATAGTGTTTTACTCGAGGGAGTGAATGTAGAATGTGCCCCTATAAGATAATATGACCTTTTAAGAAAAAATAATTACCATGACTGAGGGGTTTCTATGACTTGATTATTGGGCCTAACTTTAAAGTCAGTAAAAACCAATCCGCACTTTTGTTCATCAAATTCAAACCTCTCAGTGGGTCGGGGTCTTGACCCGAACACAAC